TGCCCCTGGGGATGTCAGTGGGGAGGGAGACGGAGAGGGAAGTGAGTAGCATGTTGCTGCTGGAGGAGGGTGGGGGGGGGAGGAGGGTCTGTTGGGTTGAGTGAGGGATGGGGTCTGACTCATGGTGCTGTATGTAAAGCACCATGAACTTATGTAGGCACCCTTAAGGGGTTTATACATCTAACCAATATGCAGATGACTTATATTTGTTAAATATAAGCAGTAGAGAAAAAACTGGGGTTAGCATCATGGTATGCATTTAAGGTGATATGCATATAAATGGAGTGTACTGTAAGATCATACATGTTGCTGGTTAATTTACCAGTTCCAAGTGTTGGCATTTTTATTGTTAAGAAAGTAGGGTCAACAGTGAAACGTTTAGTCATCTAAATTTTATCTCCTGATGAGATCACTGCAAGGGTGACATTTTAAGTATACTGTACGTACATGCTGTAAACATTTGAGTAAGATAAACTAAAATCACCTGATGTGACATTTCATAAAGCAAATAGTTTTTTAACATAAATTTGCTTAGACTTCAAATTAGGTCTCAAAGGTGAAAGGTGCCAGCACATGCTGGCAGCTCATTTATCAGGTATGCAATGCTATCTTCTAATGTATTGCCACAGGGAAGCTTTATTGCATTAGGACAGTTATCAGGCTTGTAAATAGGTACTAATCTGTATTACTGCAGTCATTCTTTTACAACATTACTTCCATTCAACATCCCACACAGACAAAATTTGTTTGTGATAAATCAGTTGCATCAGTATATCTTCAGAAGGCTGGCAACCTGATTAAATATATAAATAAAGCCAGAATTGGCATTTTTTCTAGATGTTATAAAGATATTTAATTGATTTTTAGTTCCAAGTGTACTAGGTAACATCATTTACTCAGTAACGTCATTTAAAGTGGTAGTAATTCTTTCATTTCTAAAAGTCGCATTGTATAGAGATGTTATGATTTTGTCAGCATTTGGCGTGGTATTTAGTCATATTTATTGAAAATATTGTTGGTTGGTTACTTTTGTGCTCCATGCAGTTCGTATTCTAGATCAAATCAAATTATGGGTGTCCGTATCTCTGAGTATAAAAATATGATAGTAATGAACTTTGCAAACAGAAATTGAAAGCCAGGTTTTAAGTCCAGTGATCCCTTGTCTCAGGAGCAAGATGTTAAATTATGTCAACTCAGAAAACTGAACTTTGTTTTTTCACATTTGTTTTTATGAGGTTCTTCTTGTAGTTAACATGATTTCTACAAAATGGATCAATTGGATTACCTAGTAATTCTAGCAGTCTTTTAACTCCCAGGTTTAGTGACATACAACTAAATTGGATAGCAGTGTAAAAGAAAAATATAAAAATAGATCTGTATTTTTTAACGGAATCTTTCTGTGACAATTCACAAAGTGGGGGGAAAAAAGTGTTTTGCTTAAAAATGTAAAGTCATTTTTATGTTTCTTGTATTTGTTACACAGTGAGCTCTTGTTTCCTCTGATCATTTTAGGGTACTTCTGTAATGCTGCATTGCAGTGATTTGAATGCAATTTACCAACTGTCTAATATTTCACTTGTCTTTTGAACAATGTCTTTTCTTACATATTTGTAAAGAGCTGAAGTCCCTGTACTGATCTCCTGCTGAAACACCCAAAATTATCTACTCCTGCTGAAATAATCATTTTTATAATTTATTTGAGTACTTAAGAAGAGAACCCTGAACTATACTTACAAACAATGATTTTGGTCTATATATGGGTAATAAGAATAATCTTTCATATGCACAGTTTTCATCTCAGGAAGTGGATTCACACCTTTAAATTATATCACAGTTCTACTGTCCAGATGCAGCTAATATTGGTGCAGTAAGCCAGAATACTTCCATGCATACTGCTCCTGAAAATGAAATGTTGAACTGTAGCGTCAGTTATTGTGTATATCCAAAAACACTTAAAAATAAGTCTGTCCATCCGTCTGTTATTCCAGAAACATAGAATGATTGTCACTATTATTGTTTCAGACATGTTCTCATTAGTGACTGTTCTTTAGTAACACTGGTTCCAGCCTGGAGAGTTTCTCTCTGTCTTACGTATTACTTCATCACATCCATCAAATTTTTGTTTTGAATTATAAAGATAACCTTAAGAGATGAACCTTTATACCAGTTTGATATATGTATAAAGAAAGGAATGAGCCTCTTCAGTGATCAGAGCAACTAATGTCCCCATGAGGGAAGAAGTAGGAAGAAGGGATGTTGCTGATGAAAAAAATTGATTCTTTTCTATTAAGCTGTATGTGCCATACTTTTAGAAGTAAGCAGCTGCCTAAAGAAAAACACTTTTCTTGAACTAAAAAAAAAGGGATGAGATGAGAAAAATTTCCTATTTCATTATTTGTTGGAATAGCAAGTACAGTAGCCTTTGAATAAGCTGTTAGTGTTTCCCTAGTCTTTCTCCCAGACTGCTACTTATATACATGATGGTATTTCTTTTAGTCTTTCAAAATTGATAATATTTTAATTATTATTTTATGGCATGCATCCCAGAATACTATAGATTATTTGTCACTGATCAAAAAACGTATGTTGTTTTATTTTGCAGGCTTACCAAAAATGCAAGTCATTAGAAGCTACACTGGGGTACCTCAGCCTGATCCACTTGATGGCCCTCCATTGCACATCCAGATTGGAGAAACTGTTGAACTCATCAAAGGAGATGCACACAGCTTCTTTTGGCAGGTATAGGTCATATTAGCAAATGGCCCCATCCCATTGTCCCAGGGAATAACTCATCCACTTTTTATGTTGAAGAACCAAACATATCTTTCCCACATTTTATCCCAGCTAAACCATTGATATATCAGTCTTTACTTTTCAGACTGCAGCAATTCTTAGGGTGTCCAAGGGACTGATCTTGCATCCCAATCAAAGAAGATCCCAGTGAGTAAGTTTGCAAGATTCAGCCCTTGGTACGAGGCATTTTATATAGATGACATTAAGGTATGGACTGTGTGTTTTCAAATCAAGCATTGTTCCACATAATGGAATTGGGGACCACAGAAGCTAGAAAAATGTTTTTGACCAAACTTGAATAGGAAAATTACTTAGAGGGAAAATACCTACCAAAGGCTGAGATATCAGTGAGCTTGTTTATAGGAAGCCCAGGTCAAATAATGAGACTTTTATATGTATTAGACAGGTATAATGTATTGACTGGATAAAAAGAGCTGTTGCTATAGCAACTCTATCTCATGATTCAAGTGCTACTTTTAGTACAGTGATTACTTTCTTAATCAAACACTCAAAATAGAGGTTTAAACTGCTGCAGCTTTCACAATTTGCTTTCAAGATGGATGCTTACAGTTATTGTGTTCTGTGTTTCTTGTTTATATTTTCTTGTTTGTTTTTAATTTTTGATTGAAGTGTTTCAAGTATATGACAGAAAAAATTGGATACTGGTCATAGTGGGGGATAGGTGAAGGTAAGATGGAGAAAAAGGTACAACTCCAAGGTATTACAGTATTAAGTCTGGTGTGCCTGTTCCTGTGTCTTGTAATTGAGACTTCTGTGAGACAGCAACAACCAGATGAACATTATGGTTCAAGCTGATTGAATCTGTTTGGTGCCAAAGACCTTTACATCTGACTGGTTTCAGTGAGAGCTGAGTATTCTTGATACGTGGCAATAACAGGCCCATGATCCATCCTACATATCCTTATTTATAAATGCTATATACTGATCTCACAAGATACAGAAGCAGATGCACAAAAGAATTCCCAGCACCCTCTGCATATTCCCATGATTTTAGAATTTGTGGATCATGGGTCCCCTCTACATAGTAGAGACACTGAACAATTAACTGGTGAATTGCACAATTATCCAGAGACCAGCTACTTGTGCAAAGTAGCTATGATACAGTGAAAAGTTCCAAGGTGCTATAAAGTTAGACCTCAAAAGTGTGTACAAACATTATAGCTAGTAGCTATGATGGAGCTTTAATGTGCCATAGATCAGGGTTTCTCCTGCTGCTTGGAAGCCCCATCAATTGACAAGGCTGCCAGCTACAGAGGAGCACTATGCCTAGTGCAAAACCCTGAGCCCTAGGGATTGCAGCAGCCATTATCCCCAAGGTCCAAGGGTGTGTGAAACCCCTGCTCTGCAGTGATCCTTTGGCCCTGGGGGTTTCCCACACCTCTGGAGTTGGGGGATTGCCTTGCAGCGATCCTCCAGCCCTGATGGTTTCCTTATACCCCTGGGGTGGGGTGATTGCTGCAGCAGGGATCCTCCAGCCTCAGGGGTGCTTCGGTGCCCTGCCTCAGGGGTGCTTCAGTGCCCTTGTGGCTGGAAGCCCCTCAAATGGGCCGTGTGGGGCTCCCAGGTGTGGGAGCCTGCTTCTTGCTGGTGCAGGCAGAGACAGACTAAGATGCTTTGGGGCCCTGGGCAAGAAAAGGATTGGGGAGGCCTTTTGTGTGGGGAGGGGCGGCGCTCCTCCCCATTTTGTTTTTTAAGTAAAATTTTTCATGTTCCAAGCCAAATCAATTCTAAATCCATGAGTCATTCAAGAACCACATGTGGCCCTACTACAGGCAAATATCCTCCACCTCCACCTGGAGCTTCAGATGTTTCCAAATCATTTGGCTGGTATCCTGTGTATAGGCCCAAGCCTGGAGGCTTGGGATGGTCCCGAGTTTTGCTTGCCCTCAACCGTACTGCTGCAGGAACAAGCTAAGGAGGAGTCTCCCATTTCCATAAAGTGGGCATAAAGCTAAGATTTTCTCACAGGAAATGAATGTGAGAGGGTAACTCTACATTACTTATGCAGGTACTATCCCATGCCAGAAAAGTGGTTATCCCCTGTCCCTGGGAAAACCACTCTGGTGATCATGGTATCTCCTGTCCTCCCCATGCAGGAGCTGGGCTCCAGTGGGGGAAGAAAAATTTTCTCTTCTTTGTGGTGCTGCTGGTGTGGAGGTGTGGGACCTGGTTCTCCCTCACTAAAGAGGTACAGTGAGCAATGTGGAGTAAATGAGGGGTGGACTTATTTGCATATTCTCAGTATATGCAAAATGTGTATATGCAAAATATATCCATTATGTTCTGGTTCTTGCAGTCTCACATAAGTCTCAGATTCAAGATACATGTCATCATCTTGTTTGCTTTGTATTGCTCACCATGGCTGGCCAGCGTGTGAATGAGAACTGGGTTAAAATTGAAGAGCTCTTATCATGTACCTGGCACCACTGTCCCCCCAGACATGTAGGGGGTCCCTGGCTTTGGGCTTAGCTGGTGTGTGTGATAGTCCACCTATGGGTACAGGGGAACCTAGGAATGGACATGTCAGGAGGTGTAATTGCATGAATCATACTTTAGATTCCATCATGTCTTTACTTCTATGTGTGGAGGGAGATATAGATTCTCATATTCTCTCTGGGATATAAGAAATATACAATTACCTGGTGGTAACTTTGTGCTGTTATCGTGCACTACAAAACTGTTCAAAGCTGTTTGTAAATGTTGTTCTAAGTTCATATATAGAATTTTTTTCTTGTAAGGCTTGATCCTCAAAGTACTAAATACTCTAGTTTGATCCAGAGTTACTTGAGCAGATTCTTAACTTTAATCCTTTGCACGGCTGTAGCTTTTGCACCTGAAGCTAAACATCTGCTTACATAGTTCACTGGATCAAACCAGAATTCTCAGCCTCTTGCATACTGAGTTCATGGCTACATGCTGTCATCTTAGTCATCTGTCATTGTAATTTATTGGATAGCTTCTTCAATAGTACTTCATGTTTGTCATGTTAAAGGATTTAGGATTTAGAAAGTTGCCGTGTTTGGTGAGCAGAGACTGGTAAGTGGGTGAATCTGAATGCTAGTAACTATCTGCCTACCAATCTTACTAGTAGCCTTAAGCTTTAATGGGAACTGTCATCCCCATTAGCATCTTTTAGGCAATCTTTTTCCTTACAGGCAATATTGTCACAGACCAACTCACTATAGTTTTTTTTTTTTTCTGATTGCCAACTTGAAATATATATTAAAAAATAAATACAGAGCATGTTTTACTCCAGGGAATTTTTGGAATAATTTATGGTTGACTTGATAGACCGTAATGGTTAGTATGCACTTTTAAATTGAGGAGCTTACCTTTTAGAAGTTCAAATGTTAGCAATTAATAAATATTAAGGTACAGTTTATATATAATACTTTCATTTTGTACAGCATATCAGCAAAGCACAACCATCATACGATGATTTCCTCCTTTCTCTTATAGGATGTTTTCCTCCTTTCTCAAAATACAAACAAGTGTATTTTGATAATTGTTAAGAAAACACTGGCAAATGAAACATTTTGTGTGTTTGATTCTAACAGCACATTTTTCTGACCAAGCCCTGCCACTCAGTTAAGACTGCATGAATGTGATTCCTCCTCCTCCTTCCTCTGATAAAAACATGAATAATAATTTTCCCCTAGAGAGCAGTAAATTTTGGATGATGATTGGTGGTCATTCTGAGTGAGTAGGCAAAGAGATGCTCAGCATCTGTACTCTCTCAATTGAGCCATAGAAAGTACATTCATGGGTAAGCAGGAATATAATTTGTTTTTATATTGTGTCCTAAAGAGAAAAGGTTTGCCACAGCAGGTTTGTTCACTACTTCCAGCTTAATACCTGGATTTGGTCACAATTTAAAATGAATGAGTTGATCACATACTAGTGTTCATAAATACTTGTCAATATAACTAGCTTTCTTTTACTCAGTCAAGGCACAAGAGTGGAATAGCTACAGTGCTTGCTTTAATGTGTTTCATGCTGGCACTATTGATCCTTCACTTTTACAAGCAGTAAAATCACTTACAAAATTAATTAAATAAGAAAGCGAGAAAAGGAAGAGAAAATTTGGTGTGTTAAATGGAAATTTCAGACCCTGCTCATGAGCACTGCTGTTTGGTTCAGCAGTAATAGTGCTTCTTTGAAGTAGAGTCTGATTTTTATTATAGATGTGGGGGTTTTTTCTTCAGAGTTTGTTCAGAATAAATTGGCACTTACTACACCTGGGGAGGAAGCTTTCAAGGGTGCCAGGATGCATAGCATATGAAGTGATGTAATGCTGGCTTTACAGGTTTCTGTTACAATTACACACTGTCCTTGGGGCAGTCATGTTTTCCATGAATGCTAGAAGAATACAAATGTTCATTGTACTGGTTTCTTCCACTGTCAAAAACCACCCTTCTCTGATAAAGATTTGGACCTATACTAGTTCCCTGCTGTTACAGAAACCCTTGTAAATGTCACTGTAGTCAATGTTCCCTTAACATTTTCGTTATAACATCCTTAAAAAACATTATCTATGCTGGGAAAAATTGTTCTTTGACATAAAAATAGAGCTTTATGTTTTGGTAGTCATCTTTCTAAAGTCTAGTATAAAGTGGAACTTATCAGGGATAAAGTACAGTACTGTTCAGTTAGGTCAGTTTACTGGAAGAAGGCAGAATAACTGAAATAGGTAGTAGTATGAGATGCCTCATTCATGTACAGACATCAGTCATTGAGTCATAATTACATTGGTCATCTGGAAAGAATCTTGTATTATTTGGGAATTTACTTCTGAAAACACAAACATTACCCTTGGAAATCTGCATTTGTATTTTTGAGGGAGTACTTGTTTTACTGTGGTTATCTAGTCAGGAAAACTTGGGAGGAGAAAACTGATGGGCCTGTATGCAGTCTCATGGAATCTT